CACTGTGCAGCCGCCCTCTCTGCCTAGAGGCTCCTGTAACAGGTGGACTGCAAGCTTTCTAGTAGGGCAGGAATGCACTGCTCTTGGTTTTCCTCCTGATGGGAGTCCTTGTGTGTCCTCCTTGGTACATACGCATAACAGGTGTGAAAGTGTCACAGTGTGACACATGGCAGTCTTGTCCTTTGATCTGCATGGAAGGTTTGTGGACATTGGGTGAAACAGTGATCATGCCTTTGTGGTGATTAGCTGGAAGCAGCTTGTGTTCCACTTTGGTAGCCCTGCTGTGGGCTGGGGATACCTGGCCTGCAAGTGAAGCATGGTGTCCCCTGAGCCTTGTAGGATTAGACGTCATGCCATTTCTCGCTTTCCAGCTCCAAAGCGCTCTACACAGAAATGGGAGTGCTTATGTAGAAAACCAAACAGAGGCACAGAGGACCTCAGCCATCACCGCACAGGAGGCATCATCCCTGGCCAGCAGTTGCTGAGTGCCTGCTTGTACTAGGCATTGCTGTAGCCCTGGTTTTGCACAGGGACAAGAGACTGACAGCCTTATCTTCCTAAGGTTTTATCTTAATGAGAAAAGACAAGTGGTGAATCAGATAAATACTTGCTAGAAAGTTCTTGGAGAAAGAGAACAGGAGGGGGATGGGAGGTCAGGCTTCCCAGATTTTGAACAAGTGGTTAGGGGTGGGCTTAGCTGACAGTTGATGCTGAGGGGCAGGAAGTGGGCTCAGACATGGTGTTTGGGTGTCAGGACTCCAAGGAAGGTTCCAGTCATGTTTGAGGAACAAGGTGTGGCTTAGGAGGCTGAGTAAAAAGCAAGATGCTGAAGGTTGGGACACAAGTCAGAGAAAAGTGAGATCCTGGACAGAGGGTATAGGGAGAGAGACTGTGATCTTGGGATTCCTGGCTCCTCTGGGGCTTTGATTTTCACTGGTACATAGAGGGATAGACAGCTAGGAGCTTAACCATTCACATGTGTAGCCTGGCTGGAAGAGAGGTATTGGAGAATGATGAGGTGAACTCTGTTCCCAACCACTGGAAGGTGAAGTTGCCATGAACACAGACAGGAAGGGCTGCTGAGTAGAGTATTAGGAGGAGGACAACATGGCTGCAGCTGAGAAAGCCAGCACCAGATTGCTGGGGGCTGCATGGCCCTTTGGATGAAGCATATCCAAATACTACACCTATTTTCAATCTTTTGTCTGACTCCCAGTTCCAACCGAGGTGTTATTAAACCCTATCAAGAAAACAGTGAATTAGTCAAATTCTTCTCACAGCCCTGTTGACTTTTATCCTGGAGCTATATTGTTAGATGTCTAAATATTTGATACTGTTTTATTTTCCAGTGAACTTTTAACCTTTATTATCAAATAAAAGATTTTTTTCTCATACTGATTTTAAGGTCTAATTTGTCTTATATAACTACATTTTGGGGCCCATTACTGCCACTCCCTTTTCTTTTCATTTTCTTTGAATATGTGTTTGTGCATAAAATATATGCTGAAATGTAATTCATATACAGCTCACTCACTTGAAGCATATGACTCGGTGGCAAGTGTAGATTCATGATGTCATGTGACCATCCTGACCACCAGATATTTTCAGTACCTTAAAGCCTTCTCCAAACCCATTTACAAATCATCCTTGCTTCCTTACTCTTCCTAGTCCCCATGTACATTTCCAATAAATAGAATTACATAATATGTGACTTTTTATATACAGCTTCTTTCTCTAGTATAATGTTCATAAAGTTTCATTACACTGAAACATGTGTTGCTATTTCATCCATTTTTGTGCATGAATAATATTCCACTATGTGGGGCTGGCCAGATAGCTCAGCAGGTTAGATTGCCTTTTTAGGCAGACTCAGGGACTGGGGTTTGACCCCTAGCATGCCGTGCTGGCCCCGCCTCCAGGGTGCCCTGAGAGGGTGATAGAGATTGGGTGTGGTAGCACACACCTGTAATCCCAGCACTTGGGAGGCTGAAAACAGGAGGATCACTAACAGTCCGATCTGTGTAGTGAGACCCTGCAGACCCTGTACTAAATACATAAAAAACAACAACAACAACAAAAATCCACTGTGTGTACGTATCACATTTTATGTGTCTGTCAGCTGATGGGCATTTGGGTGGTTTACTCTTTTGGGGGCTACTATGATCAACACCCCTACTAACAGTCATGTACAGGATTTTGTGTGGACATATGTTTTTAAATTTTTCTTATTTCCTGCATCCTTTCTATGGATTTTTTAAAAATACACTTACCCTTTTAATCTATTAGAAATAGATTTTTTGTGACAAATGTGTATATCAAAACCAAGTTCTTGGGGTTGGTGAGATGGCTCAGTGGCCTAAAGCACCAATTTAGAACAAGCTTAGCAAAGCACAGGGAC